GGGGTATGTAAAATCAATTCTAAATTCATGGAAGAAGATTAGGGTTACAAGAAAAAGGGGCGTGGCACTTCCAGTACAAATTTACTTTTTCTTGCCACATATCCCTGAAAGTATTTGTGGAAGAATACTGGAACTTGGTATGGAGTTGTGTATACAAAATGTATCAATTGCTCATGGAAAAAATGTGAGTTATTAAAAAAGGAGGCATTGTCGCCTCCCATACATACTAAAAACTTCTTAATACATAATAAGTATTTTAAATTTGATATGGAGATTAATTTTATAAGTGCCATACTGACAGAATAAATTTCATTAAATGGAAAAGGGAGAGCCGGGTTCGGCCTTATCATCTAAAGCTCTCTTGAGGCATTTGCTACAGTAATGATAAGTGATATTTTATCAAGGCCAGGTTACCTAATTTGAGTTGGAAATATTAGAACCCGCCGTGGAACCACCAAGAAGGTTACACGTTCACGCGTCGTATACCTGGAACCATTTTAAGGTAAACTTAGAGGGATTGATATCTTTCGTATGGCAGCGCGCAGACGAGATTTTATAATTTCATAGTTTTAAACGGCCTAAATACCTTAACTCGCTTAAAAAATAACGAGCTATAACGAAATTGGCACAGAAATAAAATCTAACATCATTAAATTATTTTTCATATACATACACTTTTCTCGTTGAGAAAATTAATTTTTTTAAGGCAGTATTATGATATTTTATTAAATTATATAGTACAAAGAACTAAGGCTATTCAGAGCTTTGTTTCAAGAAATAAAAAGGGAAAATCAAATTTCTGAAAATAACTAAAGTCGAGAGTACCCAAACTAAAGGGAATTTCTCAATAAGCCTTCGGTGGAGATATTAGTGAAGGGTTTCTGGCATAAAACTTACATATCTCTTTCAAACTTATTTTCCAATACATTTTACTCCTTATTGTCACAGATATTAAGGTGCCGATATGTACATTAGAGTGCTCCAAAATAACTAACTTAACCAATTTATGGCCTTAGAAGAACATATCTACTAAGAAGAAAAGTCTCCCATTCGGAAAAATTGTTATTCCAATTTTAAAAGGTGCCGATGGGAATTGGAAACTTTCCATGTAAATAACATATATAAAAATTGGTTTTCATTAAAAATGTTATACCTATTGAACGGTTTGAGATACAAATTTTTCTTGGCTTATTCTTGTAGGGCACTAAATTCTCTATAAAGAACAGAAATGAAAGTCAAAAATTTATTTACTTACTTTATGAATGTCAAAAAAGCAAAAATATGCAGTTTTAGGGCTGGAAATATTCGTGCTAATTGAAAGACCTCTCACTAAAATTATACAAAATGTTGATTACAAACTAGATTTTTCAAAGAAGAGAGAGTTTTAGTCCATTTATTTATTTTTTATTGCATCTATAAACATTAATATTTTTTTTAATTATTAATAAAATTCGTTCAGCAATATCATTAACATATTTAATACGCCTAATCGTCTTTAAGACAACCAACTTCCGGGTGATTTCATGCCCTACAATAATATGCCCAGAAAACCTTTTATCTCAAATGGTTCAATAGTTATAACATTTTGAACAAAAAAAAAAATTTTTTTACAAATATTTTACATGAAAAATTTCAAATGCCCATCGACACCTTTTAAAATTGGAATAAAAATTTCTGCAAATGGGAGAATTTCCTTCTCGGTAAATGGATCCTATAAAGGCCATAAATTCGTAAGGTTAGTTATTTTGGATCACCCTAATGTATGTACATATTATGTAGATATGAGTAAATACAATCAAATTCGCTCTAATTACAGTGAACTCTGATCATTCACATATTAATTTTATTTCACAGCTTTCCCGAGGAGGGTCAATATGGACTGGATATCTATACACGTGAAGCGGGCGCCATGGCTTCACATCATAGCAACTCATCATCCGGTGAAAAGCATCTACTCACGCACTGCTGTAAATACCTAATCAATTCATCGAAGCGGAACTAAAAGCGCATAATTATATAACTATGAATGCAATGCTGTTGTTACAATAATTTTAGTGTAAATGCGAGAATTACCAATTAATCGTAAGAGTTTATTATGCTTAACACCAATTGTTTAAAAAAAAATTAATTCCATGCATATCAATATACAATATTATACATATTAAAATCCAAATAATATTGAACTATGTACAACTTTACAATACATAAATAATAAATATACATAATTGCAATATTTTATATTGGACTGACATACGATTTAATTTAATTATTCCTACAAAAACATTTTCCCAACATTACAAAACAGTTTATCTTAACAAACCTAACCTGTTTGAATATCTCTTTTTACGCCAACGCACACTTTTTCCACAGACTTTATCGAAGTTTTCGGTTTGGTTTAAATTCCTAAAATCCTACAACTGAAAGCTTTCAAACAATGTACGTATATGAGTAAAAATTCGTGAAGTGGGCCACAATTTTTTCGAAGGTCGAACTGTTTTTCTACAACTATCTGTTTATGCTTCACAACGATAGAAGAAAAATACAAGTTTCACAATTTTTCGAAATTCGAATTATTTTGGAAATTATAGCTATTATTAATATTTTTCGCAATTGTTTAGATTTTAATTGTTTTCTCGAGA